CAATCGATTTGTCAGCACTGATAACAATTGCATCTGTTGGTGGGAAAGTTGAAAAGGGGGAGGGGGCAAAAAAAAGTGCCGTAAAGCGGAAAAGACGCATGTATAATTTAAAGAGAAGCCAAAAAGTCTATTGCCTACAACATAAGCTCGTGAGCCCGAGGGGGGGAAAAAAGAGTGGCAGTAAAGTGTAAACAAGAAGAGTAATAAAAATAGTAATAAAGGACGGGAGGAGAGAAGGAAAGAGGAACGAAAAGAAAAAAAAAAAAAAAAAAAAAGGTCCAAAGCGTGCGTCAAACCTTCGGAGCACACTGTACGCCGCTCCAGGTGCAGGTAAAAAAAAAAAAAAAAAAAAAAAAAAAAACAGAACGAAGGGTGTACGCTCTCGCGGTGTGGTCGGCGTGTATGGACGCGCGGGGGCTTTTACGGCGCGCACCTGCATTTTTGCCAATATTTCGGGAGACATTAACGTGTTTAACGAGCGCCCGTAACAAGCCCAAAAGGAGGAGCCTCCCTTTCTTACACTTATTTCCCCCCTTTTTTTTTTCTCCCTCTCTCCTTTAACCTCGCGGAGACATAAACTTTCATTGTCCTCGTATATGCATATGCGTCGTCTACACGTAGGGGGCTACGCGGCGTGTTTTTCCTTTTCCTTAATTTTTCTGCGAAACGAACGATTTGATCAGGGCTGATTGGCATCGCGTACTCGCGTCATCGCCGATCGCCATCTAAATTAATTACACAAATAAGCCAATTCGATCGTTAAAATGCACACTCTTAGCTGGTGAATCATCGGTCAACTTATCTACTCATGCGGATTCGACAAATGACAGAATGAAGAAAAAAAGAGAGTTTTTTTTTGCACGTACTCGTAAAAACACGAAACTCGATCGTAAACATTGTACAGATGCAGGGGCGCGTATGGCGCACAAAGGAAAATTCGTCACGGCGTGTCGGTTTGCCGGTAACGCGATTTCATACCTCGTCTTGAGATCGACTCCCGCGGGTACGAGGACCACCCAAACCAAGTGCAGTTCCCTTAGTCCTTTTTTTTCGTTTCTAATTTGGTAAAACCAGAGAGTACACGTATATATATATATATAAGGCAAGGAGGGCGAGAACGAGACGTCGGAATATAATGTTACAAGGACCCGGAGAATGCAAGTAAAGAGGAGTCCGAGAAATATTCGTCCGCGTGCTTCGATCACTTTTGGAGTATCCTGTTACAGCCGCAGAGTCCGAATTTAGAAAATTATTCGAGCCTCGCGTTTTTATTTTTTCACCCTCGCGACCCAGCGGGGGAAGCGTGAGAAGTATCAAAACTTACATAAAAAGAGCAGCTCATACGTATACAGGCAGACCAAAGCCAACGAGAGGAGATGAATGACACGTGTCTTCGGCCAGCGTGTACAATCACTCTCGGACCATGCAGCGTCCGACGCATCCTTTTTTTTTCCTGGATGTATCCTTTCGGCTGTGGGATACCGTTACCAGGAGGGAGAGATGGAAACGAGGAGATCGCGGTGCCGATACTCGAAGCATATATATATACATGTGCAGGAGAGATGATGTAACTGCGCTCGCGTTCAGTACCACTTTTATTTTTAGGACGTGCAAACAAATTTCGTTGTGGGCGCGTCGAAAATAGTACTAGTGCCGAGATGTTTAGAGACGAAGCTCCCAACCCGCGCCTCTCCTTGAAGCACCCATGGATACACATGGGAGAAAATAGAGCAAATCTCGGCTTCTCGAATAATGAGGCAAGCCGAAAGGCCGAAACGGAAGAAAAAAGGGAGGAGCCCACCAAAGAGTACGGGGTGCCGGAGAAGAGACACAAAAGCATACCCGTGGCCTCGCGAAAGCGCACAACAAACGCACACGCGCGTGTAAATTCGCGTACGGGGCTCTTTGAAGTCGCGCCTACCTACGTGATATACCTACTGGCGAAGCGTCGGAGGAAAACGCGAAAGCGTCAATTATACTGCATCTCATTGGCTAGTCCACGCGTACACGCTCATGCAGGCCAAGTGTTGTTTAGTCCGTACATAAATACCAACACCCTCGAGAGTCGACTTTCCGCGCTTCGGCTGATGATGCTTGCTTTGCTCTCTTCGACAGTAGGAGCTACGGTGATGCTGCTCCTCGAATATCCGCCCACCTTCGGTATACACCCGTCTCGAGTACACTCCAACGTCGAGTGCCCCCTTCTCGTGCATGGCAGTAGGTACACCCATCCATCCATCCGTGCACGGGCACACCTTTTTTTTTTTATTTGTACAGAAAACTCTGGGGCGCTGCTCCATTGTGCAAACTCAACTCACGGGAAAGCGTTTCCTCACCAACACCCTTTAGCTTCCCTACCCAATGTTGTACCTACTCATGCACAATACCACGATGTAGTGAATTAAAAATTTAACGACTCGATAATCAAATATGGCCCGTGGGTCTTGTGGCGCGAGAAAAGTGTACACTGTAACTTGGAAATTCCAGCAGGATGAACAAGTAAAAGCCGGGGGATTAACGTCACCTCCAGGGGTTTCCTGTCGGGATTCAGTCAGCTGTCGACGTGGGACCTTCTAACGCTTTGGATCCTTCTCGGATCACTCGGCCGTGACGAAAATTACCCAAAATGCGGAGTACACTTGGTATCGTAAAGACTGAACAACGTCGCAGTCGAAATCCATTAGAGAGCACCATCTCGAGGGGGGGGGGGGGGGTTTTTAATCGGGAAAAAAGAAACTTGCGGGGACAAACGCGAATGCCTTCGTTTTTGATCGCGAAGAAGATGGTCAGGGCCCCGAATGAAGCAACGTATCCTCATATAGAGTCCATTGTGGAGTCATCTAAAGCTACCCACTCATTCCACCGGCTTGCGCGCGACTTCCTCTGCGTGCAGGGCGCAATCACGTGGTGCATTACACGCGGCGCATCAGAGGCAATTCCGCCCGCGAGAAAAGAGGGATGGGAGATGTTTTCCGTTCTGCAAAATTATCGGCAAAAAGCGATCGGTGCGCGAGTCTCGGGAACAAAGGCACGTCGAGGGCAGTTGAGCAAAAAACCCCGGGTGGGAAGGGAGGCTCGATGCTCGTGGATCGCGATTAGCCACGGGCGTAATGAAGCCACGCACGTACACACACGTTACACCTATAACACACCAAGGGGCTTTCTCTCACTCGTTTGTCCCTTTCGTAAGTACATCTCCCGGCTACTATGGGTTCTCGCGCCCGTGCACCGGAAGCTCTGCTCGTCCTCCCTTCCCTAGTTTGTATCCCTGCCTCTCGCACCGGCTTGTTCCTGACTTACGATTGCTTTTATGCCCCTCTGAGTTATTAAAATCATGTAATTGCTCCTTCTCGCTGGGGCTAAAAACTTGGAAGCTGCAGAAATTGCGCGGCTTTGTTGCTTTATTTTTATTTTTTTTTTTAATGGAAATTTCAAAAAAATGAATTGAAAAATTTCTTTTTTTCGTGCATTCGTTTCTACATCTATACATATACTGTTCATTATAGTATTAATAGTGTCGCGATGAGGTACATTCCGAAGCTATTGGAGTGTATTTTAAACGAGTACCAACGGCGTGAATTGCACGATACGGTGATTTTACGTGGGAAGGAGATTTTTGCGCGGGAGAGCGGCATATACTCATTGTACACCCAAACGACTCGAGCGGTGATTTATAGGTGGCTTTAACCTCGGGAAATTTTTCAACGGTAATTATATCGTCCCGAGCCGTTCTCGGAAGACATCTGTTAGAGACTGTGCAGCAAATGGTTCGGGCGACACGCGATACACATTTTTTTTCTCCTACAGCCACCGCCTTCGTTAGGAAACTCTCTTATTCTCGCGATTTTTATAGTTTGTTCCATAATACGGTGTAATTTGCAAATCGACAATGAGCGCGCGACTTCAGTGACTGGTGGCCTTTTTTTTCAAAAGAGAACCATCGGTCGGGGGGGGGGGGGAAACAACACCGTAATTAATCACGTAAAGCGAATCTTACGCAACGCATCTTTGAAAAGAATTTTTTTTTTCTTCCGCTCATTGAGTTACGAAAATTCCCGTCTCCCGCGTCACCCAACCACTGCAACGTATAGATCGTATCGGCCGCGCCGGTAACGCTCAACGAACAACGCGATTTTCAGTTTCACCGTACATACTACTTCGTTTTCGCTACTTCATTCAACAATGATCACCTTATAGTTTCTTCCGGCGTCTCAAGGTCATCCGGTAATGTTGCGTATAAGCGTATAACACGCGGGGTGTGCTCCGGCTGTCGTCTCCTTTTCGATATATATTGAGGCAGCGAAATAATTGACATCCGAACAATGTGCGCATCGACGGAGGCAACTTTTTCTCCATCAATATCGCTGCTGTACGGAGGCACGTTTTCGTGCGAGGAAACAATGTAGCGCGTCAGATGATTGCCAGATCAAACCGAAAGGAAGAAGGACGAGTGAAAAATTACGGGCGTTTTATCGTACTTCCATCTCACGTATAGGCTCTCATTATTCTTTTCTAGTCGTGTAATTACACAGCCAGGCATTTTAAACGCTGCGTGACTCGCGGTCAAAAGCGATCCGCCGCGTCGTTTCGTGTACACCACTTACTCAGCTCGTTACGATTTAAATGGTGTATGATACCATTGCCCAGGAAAAAAAAGCAGATCTCGCTCGGCGCTTACACCTCGTGTATATACGAACGAGGAGGGGCAGAGGGGGAACACTTTCCTTCTTCTCCCACGGTCCCATTCGGGCCGGCGCTTATGCGCTTAATCGTGTACCCAAAGACACTCGTTAGGAGCAACTTTGCAACTTTGGCTCCTTGTGTTGTACTCCTCCTTCCGTAGCTGTGCCACTGTAAGCGCCAGGCACCGCGGATCAAGCAAAGAAGGTGGAGCGAACGTTAATTTGCGTTATGGGCTCTCTCTGGGTGTGTATACACGCGGCAAGCCCCCCCTGTCTGGCCCTTCTACTTTGAGAGTACGTATAAGGAAATTTACTTACCAGCGAATCCACCTCCGGGTCGGCGATGTAGAAGGGCTTCTCTTGTCTGATCTGCAACAGAGAACAAGGGGATGGTGCTTTTAATAAATAATTAGAGCTTGAATTTTGTTAATTGGACGATAGTATAATATATATATGCAGTCGCTAGGCTTTGGTTTTTCGAGGTTTCTCGCAATCATGATTGTAATATATATGTATATATATATGTATTTCTTTTTTATTTCAATGTAAGAAAAGGGGCTTACTTTAATAATATTATCAACGCCTTAGCCATAAATTATATCATTAATATCTGACTTAGTCTAAATGATAATCATGTGTGCGCGTGAGAAGTGGGTGAATACACTGGTTGAACATGTAGATGTTAACGTGTCTTTGATCGACATGAATAGATAAGTCGTCTTGGGTGTCTCTAAAGGAAATAGGTCAGCACAGGTACTCGTTTACAAAGAGAATTTAAATTTAAACGCTTTATCACAGTATCAATCAGCTCATTTCGACGCTATAGTGGTGTTCATTAATATATTAATGGTATTTCATTCCCAATCATGCATCAACATTAGATCAACCAACATCCAGTTTTCCCGGTAATAAATTCTACCAGCATCCAACCATCAGTGCTATACAGTTGAAAATATTTTCTGTTTTTGATAGCACGTGGGCATCTTTTCCCACACGGATTTGTGCCGCTGTCCTAAGCTATGCGTGTGTACATACACACGGAGAAAAGAGAACCAACTGAGAAAACCCGGCTACGTTTTCCCGTGGAATGTCGAGCAGGACGTCGAAAAGGCAACAAGTAGGTACAAGTCTGGAGCATCGGGTTTGCGACGACCTGACTTTGATGTGGGGGCAACAGGAGTTGTAGCGGAAAACAGAAGCACGTGGCACCGCCTTATTCATGAGGCTGAATTCTGAATGGGCGAGTTCCTGTTCTTCATCCACGAGGATGAGAGCGTATTAGTAATGAAGGTGTCTTGGCCAGGACGACTCCCAACAAAAATACTGTCAACCTCTCGCGAGCGCGCACGCGCAAGTTTCTTGCGACCAAAGACATCGCCTCTCTTTTTCTCTGCGTAGCGTGTGCCTGTGTGTATATTTGTTCGCTGTACTGTTGCCGACTTTGCTCCCTTTTTTTTCTTCATACCCTTTTTCCTCGACCAGGTCCCCGTGTACACCGATCGCTTCCCTGCGTCTTGTAGCTGTGCACTCTTTACCAAACCTGCTCCAACAGCACGGGAAGAGAGAGAGAGAGAGCCAAGGATTACAATTTGTAAGAATCCTTACTCCCACAATCCTTACAGCGCGTGTCACGTTCCTTTCTTTGAGCCTCTTTATTTCTGCTGTTGCCGTTCCTGCCACCGAACCCCTTTCTTCCCGTGTTTGTTGGCAACTGGTAAATTTCCTTTTGTGGAGCTTTTCGAGAACGAAAGATGAGAAAAAATTAATCGTTTTACGAGGAGGGAGGGCTTTGTAGTTTTTTTTTTTTTTTTTCCTTCCTTTTTCTCTCTTATCCTTTCCTCGAGCCATTGGCAAACAGGTTGAGGTTCTCTCGTGAGGGTTTCGACAGCGATGTCATGAGAAACTTTGAGACTCGTTAGAGAGACGCTATTGTACAAACTATTTGTACTTTTTTTCTTTTTTTTCTTTTTTTTTTTTTTTTTTTCTTCAATTCGAGGTACAACTCCATGGTATTTGTAAAGTAAAAACTCAAGCCGAACAAAACTCCTTTGGATAGTAAAATCAAGCGAAAGGATATCCTTCACCGGCTTACACATATTATACGTGTGGTTACAGATCTCTAAGGACCCGTTGATTTTCATTATTACCAAGATCACGAGTTTTCTAAGGCTTTAACACTCTTTTCACCATTTTTCAAATCTTGCCCCAGTCAAGTACCTAAATGCAGATTTAAATCGTTATAGGGTCATTCAAGTTTTTAACGACTAGATTTTTACGTGTAATCTTTATTTTTTTATCACCAAATCACGAAAATTCAACCAATCTTAAAACAATCAAAACTATTACTACAAGAAATAAATAAGCTACATGGTATATTATGTAGGTAGCGAAGCGACTGGAGCCCTATAAATCAAGACACCATTGGAGGGTCTAATTATTTGATCGGATCAGACGAGAGTTCGAAGAAACCAAAAAACATATATTTAAAGTTATGAAATCAATCGAGTAAAGAGAAAAATCAATACACGATACGTCCGCTGTTTCTTTGCGAGCAACGGGTATATACCGTACGGTACAGTACACAGTAGGGAAAAAAAAGGCATCCGACACTCGCACGATCATCCAGCGATGCTTTAACATCGCACGCCGTAATTCTCTATTAGCAGTCGTAGTACCGGTGTACCGTATCCTCGTGCATCCTTCTCTCGATCGTCGTCGCGGTATATAGACGGCTCGGTGTGCCACCACAAGCATCAGGCACGACACTGCTCGCCGGGAAAAGAGAACCGGTCCGGAATCGCGCCATAAGTTTTCCGCGCGGCGATTAAAACCTTGGTCCCGCGATCGGCTCGCCTACGCGATTCGTTTGTTAATTGAGCTTTGAATCGCAATTAGAGGCCAAGGCACACTCGTGACTCCAACCGCTTGCAGAGTGAATTTACATGGATATAGCCCCACGCGTGTACGAGGTGCTCCTCTCGTGAGAAGGTGCATTTCGGATTTCTGAGAAGTGCGTGCGCGGGCGATTTAATTGGAGCGCCTTCGATTTTAATGATTTTTCGCGTCCCAATGGCTATCTCCCCGCGCCCGAAGGAAGTCGTTACCGCGAGACCGCGCGTAAATAACAATTTCTTTTTATCTTGTACACCGAACCACCTCCCCACGCGGATGGATCGTAAATTTCATCCAAAAGAAAGCGATGTAAATACTTTGTTTTTTTTTTCGTTTTGTCTTGCCTCGACATTTCACAGTTTTATACATAGTGGAATCGATTGTATTTTTATTGGTTATTTACATCGAGAGTGTCGTTCACGGGCAATAAATAGATAAGGAGGGACACCGACAAAAGCCGGTGCTCTCTCTCTCTCTCTCTTTTCGCTGCGCCTGTTTGCGTTTCCCGCTCTTTATTGGCCGCAATACTATCGGTACCTCGAATCATCGTCCAAAACTTTGTGTGACTCTTCTCTTCCTATATACGTTATTATTGGACATGTTAGAAATCACAAGATCTCGTATACGCGCCGGAGAAATATTCAAACGAGGCCCAATGCCTCCCATGAACTTGGTTAATTAATCCTAATGGCTCCTATTTCCAATATGTACCCAAGTACGCTTTTTTGTTGAAGACCAGAGAGAAATGTCATAATAATAATTATCGTACGATCACCGTTCCACGTAATCTTTTGGAAAGTACCGAGTTGAAGGATTTCCAAATGTGTATACGGATTTAGTGAAATTCTTCTCATTCCACCGTACGACCGTGAGGTATGTTGTAGGTATACCTGTGGAGGGATCCTGGGGTTGGGTCGGCACGTTGTTGTGCCGGCAACTTATGCAAATGAGTTTTTCAACGAACGGGCGATAACGATTTCGTCTTGGAGATGCTTGGTCGAGATGAAAGAAACGAGGGGGGGGGGAGGGATAAGCCAAGAGACGGATGGGAAGAGCAACAGCCCAACGTGACCCCGGACCTTATTATAATCACGGACGGCAGCTGACTGCGACTCGTCTTCTCCCGTCTTCTTTTCTAGTATACGAGCACGAGATAGCGGGGAAAAAGAGCATCATCAGGTGGCATTAGTCGGGCCGTCGGTGCGGTCCGGCGTTTTACGAGGGTTTAATGCCCCCGAGGTGCATTCTAATTGCACCAATAAATCCCAACGGGGCAGCGCGAGGCACACGCGCGCGCGTGCGGGAGAAACGGCGAAACGTTAAGACCGGCAGATAGATGATGATGATGATGCCGGTGCTACTGCAACTTGCAACTAGTGTATAATATGTATATACATATACATGCATGTGCGTCACACCCACGATGTTTTTCGGGCTCTCGTCCAAAGTTGGAGCGCCCACTCGGGCTGGTATGGCCGGCTCTATCTGATGGAACTTTTCGCAACTCTGTGCATTGTACGCAGGTGTGGCGCAGCCATCGAGTGACTATCACGGAGATACCCTCCTACAACAACAATGGGCTTTGATAAAAAATGTACGGCGTGCCCCGCTATCACCGGGACGGGAAGCAATTTCATGGACTTGAATTAGAGGCCGGTGATACATATAGAGATCGCACTCATCCGTCGTTCGAGCTGTTTTTTCAAACATTTACGGAAAAACAAAAAAAAAAGCAGGAAAAACTCCCAAAAACAGCCAGATGTTGCATAAGCTCGAAAAAGAAAAAAAAAATTAAAGTACAGTGGCTGAGCCCGCGATTTGACCGAAAAAAAAAAAAAAAAAAAAAAAAGTACACAACTTGTCTCTCTCTGTCTTTCTCCCGGGCGTCTTTTTTCCCCCCTCCGACAATGCTCTTTTGCCAGTTGAAGGCCGTCATTGTTCGATTGCGCCGTTGCGTCGCCTCGTCCGTATGGCTGCAGCTAGCTCTCCCAGCGGGGAAGGAAGAGAGAGAAAGGAAAGTGGGGCGAGTGCGCTCTCTTTCGGGGTCCGGTATACCTGCAGTACGTATACAGGGAGAGAAGGTATACGGTATAGGTATGAGGTAAAAAAAAAAAGGGCGCAACAATGCGCGCCCGGAGACTGTAACGCGCAGCGGGATACCACGTGTGCCCTCGCTGGCGTATATATACCTATGCCGGCTTCCTTCTCTTTTCACTCGTTCTCTCGTGGTGCCATCCCTGTATAACCTCGTGCGCGCGGGCACTCATAATCGAGGCGAGAAAGAGATGACGAACCCAAGAGGGACAGAGACAAGAGATCGGGGGTATAATACGGTTGACCCGCTGAATAGATCAATTTACAATGGCTAGAAATGAGCAGTCGTTTTTTTTTCTACTATGCCTCGGCTACACACATCATATGGCGTGTACGGGGTATACTGGCTTCGCAAGAGGAGCGCACGACTTATACAGAGCCAG